CTCTCTCTCTCTCTCTCTCTCTCTCTCTCACCCCCACTCTTTCTCTCTCACACACATACCTTCCAGTTGGCAAAAAATTCTGTTTTGCCATCTGGGAAGCTGGCAAAAAAGCCTCGTTTTCCCTGCCACCTGCAGCTCTTGGAAGATGAAGGGAAGAGAGCCCCGGGCCTCATCTCTGCCTCCTTCCTCAAGAGCTGGCTTCAGGGACCGCCAGCCTCTCCCGTCACTGCACCCTTCACTCGCCTTTCACCCAGAGAATCTGCTGGGTGGGTGGGGTGCCTGCCATTTCATCTCCTGAGAGAAGCTCGGGAGAGACATGCAAACGGCTGCAACTCGAGGCTCCTGAGGAGGATGCTGGACACCAGGGGTGGCAGTGGCGCCTGCCGCTGCTCTTCTGCTGCTCCCAGTAATGCAGGTTTCTTGGAGAGCATTAAATTGCAGGCGCACCGATTCCAGCAGCTGCGTTTTCCCTTGAAATTTGCTGTCACAGCAACCCGAAGGGGACAATCTCCCAGTGGCATCTCAGGCGCTCCCACCCTTAGCCGCGAGGGAGTGAGGACGGCTGGGTGCAGTTTGGCACCTCCCGGCTCCACTCAGATCATCAAGGGGCCTCGCGCGCCTGCTCACTCACATGGCCTGCGTGCTTCCAGCAGAAATGGGAAGCACGGGGATCTTAATGTAGTAGGGTGGGGGAGGCTGGAGCGGGAGGTTAAATAAACAAATTTGGCTTCGCTTCCTTGTGCAGCAAGAGAGAAAGTTGCCTGAGACACCACTGGGAGAATGTCCCCTTTGGGTTGTCCCCCTAGCGCCCCCCTGCCACCCCCTGCCTCTTAGCGCCCCCCTGCCACCCCCTTGTGTCTTAGCGCCCCCTTCTGCCCCTTCCCTGTAAGCATCACCCTAAGTCATCCCACCACCCACTTTGGAAACTACTGGTTTAAACGATGGAACTCATTCCAGAGTAAGATTCACTTTGTAGTTTGGATTGTAAAAAATAAAGAAAGAACCTCTAGTTGAGATTGATAGAAGTCTGCAGAACATGGGAACCATATGAGACTATAATAATATCACATTGGTAGATACTTCCTGAGGTCCACCAGTCAAACTTGATCGTAGCTCTCCCATGTTGTGTCCATCTAGCCATTGGAGCTAAACACTTATTTGTGATTCATTTATGTTATTACTGGTATTGTTCGAGATCATATAGAATAAAGGCCTCATTCAAGACAGAATGAATACAACTTACTATATATTTCAGAGTATAAGAGGGTGAAAATTTGGGTGCATCTTATACTCTGAATGTAGCCCCACCCACCCACTGCCCCCACCCTTTGGCCTCTGCCTCCCGGTAATTTACCTCCTTGCAGCAAATGGGGAAAATGGGGCTTGCAGAGACTGAAATAGGCTATAGAAATCCCTGCAGCCTGAAACAGTTGGTGATCAGGAGGATCGTTTAAACTGAAAATGAAACGTGAAACTTGCTGTTTGCTCCGCGAGGCAAATTGCTGGGAGGCAGAGGCAGATTTTTTTTTTCTAGTGCTAATCAGGCTGTCTGCTGTTTGCTGCAAGAAGGTAAGTTAATAACTATAAATGCCTACAGAATGTTCAAATTATTAGACTTATTTTTTAAAGACTGTTTTAATATTATTCTAGACAGCTTAACAAAATGAAGAAGCTTTTTAAAATAAATGCTTAATCTGAAGAGGCCCGGTGCTATTGTATCTTCTTTTAAATAGCAGAGAATAACTATACTTCCAGAAAGCACATCAATTTTAACAGGATATGTGCAAGTATAGTCACTACAAAACAGTGTATATTGTCTGTACTGTTTGCTGTTTGTGGTAAGGAAGCAAATTGCTGGGAGGCAGAAGGAGATTTTTCCCCTTGTTTTCCTCCCCCAAAGCTAGGTGTGTCTTATACTTTGGAGCGTTTTATACTCCGAAAAAATGTGGCTAAATGTAAAACAGGTCTTTATAAGAGTAAAATATACATTTGAAATGCAAGTAACCCTTTTTACATAATTATACATATATATATATTTCTATTTTTAGACAAAGCCGAAAAAATGCCAGCTCTGTATCTCAAGATTCTTGGGAACAGAACTATCTTCCTGGTGAAGGTTTCCAAAGTGCCAAAGACAACCCTCGGTACTCCAGTTACCAAGGCTCTAGGAACGGCTATCTGGGGGGCCACGGCTTCAATGCTCGAGTCTTGCTTGAGACACAGGAGCTCCTCCGTCAGGAACACCGGCGGAGAGAACAGCAGCTGAAAAAAAAGACTTCTTCTGAAGGGCCCAACAACTATGAGTCCCATAAGAAAGCTCAGGACCCTAATTATGCCACTCCCAAAGGTCCTTTCAGGCATGATGTACCACCTTCACCATCTCAGGTTGCCAGGCTGAACCGGTTGCAAACACCAGAAAAGGGGAAACCTTTTTATTCCTTAGTCGAAGAAAAAGGTCAACGACCCATGCAATAAAGGAATTTTTTTTTCATATGGAGAGACTTATATTATGGAACTCCATGTTTCAAATGGAGTGGGACTCTTTATTTTGTTTTTCAGTGCCTTTAACAAGATGGACAATGAATTGGAAGGCCTTATATATACATTTTTTTTGCCATTATGTTTCAAGTGTTATATTCACAAAAAGATTATCCATTATTTGACAATCATATTTGAGGCAAGCAATGAGTCTTGGCTATCAAGTACCCTAGCCAATCTTTATGATCAATAACTGCTCACCAAGTTACACCATTAGTGTTGTTCAAAGAGATACTGTTCTGGCATATAGCATTGATTGTTTTCTAATTTAAAATTCCATTGCCATATTTTCTTTGTTTATTTCCCTTAGCTTGAGGAAAACAAGTACCTATCAGTTATAAGCAATGAGCCAGAAATCTATTCTACTCTAGTCCTTGTTCTTTCCTTTCTGATCATTATTTAAATGTCTGTTCACTAAAATACTGTTTTTCTGTGACTTCATTGGTCATTTCCGAACTGTGCACAAACTTTATACTCATTCTTCATTCATTTATCTCAGAGACCTTGTTGCATTTGTCTCATACCTTAACATTATATTCCTTATATTATTATGAGACATTGTATTTATAATTTACATCAGCTAACGGTGAGGAGGGAAAGTGTGTTTCTCTGTGGAATGGTGAATTTCTCCAGACTGGTTTAACAAATGGGGATTTTTTAATTAACTGTTCCCATCATGTACAATTTCAGCCCCACCCCCACCCAAATTATAGATAAATGATTGCTCAGATATTCCATACTTCCTAATAATTTAATTTCTCATTATTATGTACCATTATTTTGTTAGAAGGAAGAAATGCAGGAGAAAATAAAATGAAAATCTATTTTTTGAATTAAAACTAGCTTTTGTAAACCTGTCTTTTTGACAGTTTGTAAAAACCTGTGGACAATTTGTGCTATGCTTCCATGTTGCTATATTTTGCCTCTTTGAACAATATTTGGAATCAACCAGTAAAATATAAAGTAAGACAGAAATGTGAGAAAATTGATATACATCATCATGAAAATACATCGGTGTTAAAAACAATTGAAAAAATAAGAGCTGTGAGGATATATTTTCAGTGCATTTTGAGTATACAGAATTTTTCTTTGCAACATCTAGTTTTGTGTTTGAGGATCTGAACATTCATATATTGTTTTATAAGTGCCTGAAGTAAAAAAGGCTTGAGATTAAAAACTAGGCATATCATACTAAATGAACAAAAAACATAAACTGTATGATTGTTAATTTGCCTTTTTTAAAAAAAAGGAAGAAACCTGGCCCATATTACTTTTGCTATAAAGAATACTTTCCTTGTGCTATTTCAATATATGTGAATGTTCAGTATATTCCAGCAGTGTCTTCTATACCTGTTTGCTAATTTTGTTTGTTAATATACTCAAGTGTTAAAGATTTGTTACTAATGTAAGCACAGTGACATCTGACAAAAATGGCTCTTTTTCACATAGCACTAGGGGAAATGGTGTAAATACAGAAATTTAGAATAAAAAAAACTGTTTGTGTCTTCATTTCAACATTTCTTTGAAGTTTCAGAAATTCCAGCCATCATTACGTGATTTTTAAAAAAATACAGATGTTCTTTTATCATTTTTCCACAGACTTAAATTTCCCATTCTTTAACCAATTATAGAAATAATTTACAAGAATGGGAAAAAGAAGAATACCTTGTATCTGTATTGAAGCATTTCCAAGAAGAAAGGCAAAAAAAAAAAAAAGGGAGACGGAATATGAATACCGATTTTGATAAAATCTGAAATACCAATACCCATTTGAGGCAGGTTCAACTACAGTTGGTCCTCAATTTACAACAGGTCACTTAGTGACTGAAGTATGGAGCCGAGGTGGCGCAGTGGTTAAATGCAGCACTGCAGGCTACTTCAGCCGTCTGCAGTTCGGCTGTTCAAATCTCACCGGCTCAGGGTTGACTCAGCCTTCCATCCTTCCGAGGTGGGTAAAATGAGGACCCGGATTGTTGNTGACTTGAAATCTTGTAGCAACGACCCTGGCTTTAATTATTTTAAAAAAATTATTTAAAATCCTTTCCTTTCCCTGAGGAGACTGGTGAGGCCCCGCGTCCCTTGCCTCTAGTGACTGCACGTCCCTGTTTCTTTCACTCTATCCTGTGCTGGTAAAACCCCATTTGGAGTAGTTAGTTCAATTCTGCCAATTGTCAATTCTGAAGCAAAATCTAGGATGGCTACCAAGATAGTGAAAGAACTGAAAAGCAAACCACATTTTCAGAGTACTTGAAAATAAACATGTGTGGTGTGTTTGTGTTTTAATCTGTAAAACACATAGTGCTTTGTTTCATCTACTAATTTCCAAGTGTTACTAAATAACCTTTGTAAAGATTCAGAAGATACACTCAGTTCAGAGCCAAACATTAATTCAAGCTCTGTATTACAAACTATTTATACACAAACAAATTCATAAGTACTGCACTATAGGCATTTATAAATATAATTGGTATTCATAATTCATAAGTTATCTTTCTATCCACTGATCAAATTATTATAAATAGACTAGTCAATTTTGAACTCCTTTTAACAGGAAGTATATCCAATTAATGTTTGTCATTTTAAGTCCAAAACTCCTTTAGCTCACATTTAGCTGCAAGCTGCAACATGTTATTCAGAATTTTTTTTAAAACATATCTTAGAATCTTTGGCAGCATTATATACTCAGAGGGCTCATTCAGTTTACTGTAAGTCATTTCACAAAGAGATTCGGAAGCATTGTTATTCTGCGAGGCTTATCTAAACTTAAACAAAGGGGCCTCCAATGTAAGAATAAAATTCACATTAGATATAAAAGGCAAACACTTCACAAATTCATTGTGTTACACGCAGGTGCACAGAAATTATTACACCAGTTTATATGGATAGAAAAACAAGGCCACCACAATTGTAACAGATCCGTTCCAAAGTATTTTGCACAAGAAGAAAACCTTATAGATTACTTGTAATACTTAGCATTATCAAAGGATTCAAACTTATCTAATATCAGAGCACTTGGCTACAACATCTCTCTTTATTGCCCATCTTTTATTTCTCCCTCTCATTTTAAGAAGAAAAAAGGTTGCATTATCTCAGATAGAAACAACATTGGGAAATGCAGCCCCTAAGTTGGATTCAGGAGCCCAAAGAGAAAGGCCTCGGGTTCATGGGTGACCATTTAAAAGGCTCAAAAGAGGATAAACTTATTGTCCTCTTCATGGAATATCTAGATCTGTGATGGCGAAGCTATGGCACATGTGTCAGAGGTGGTATGCAGAGCCCTCTCTGTGGACACATACACTGTCACCAGCTGCTCTTCTGGTTCCAGAGTGCTGGAAACCTGAAGGCCAGGTGGCCAGTGTGCATGCATGCACCGGCCACCTTGTGTTCAGGTTTCTGGTGCTCCAGTATGCACAAATACCAGGTGGCCAGCACGCATGAGCATGCCGGAAACCTGAAGACCTTCGTTGGGTTTCTGGCATATGCATGCACGTACATTCCAGTTTGGGCACTCGATGCCAAAAAGGTTCACCATCACTGATCTAGATGAACCATTAGACTGTTGTTTCATACAGCATTCAGATAAATGATAATAGAACGTGGATTGAAATACTTATTTTCTATCTGGATGGGGATGACCACTGGGTATGATCCAAAAAGTCAAAATGACCACCACAAAAAAAGTGATTGAAGCTCTGCCTGGTTTTATGTGTGATCACTATCACATATGATTGCAATCTTGGCTTTTTTTTTATCTTGCAGCAAGGATAGTCCTGCTTCTGGGATTATTTTGTGCCCTACTATTTGCCTGATATTTATTTAAATGTGTTCTCTCCATGGCTGATTCCATTTGCAAGTGCTTAAACAATGCACATTAAATGTACATGCCTTTTAAAAAAAAACTTCTTCTAATATATAGACTTGTAGCTTCTTTTCATAACTCCACCTTTCCGCAATCAGTTCAATTGAATGTAATATGTTTTTGGGTGTTCATTTCCTTAGTCTAGTCATTGTTGCATGTTCTTCTCCTTCATGTACACAATTTTGAATGCATTTTTGAGTTGCATCACTTAATGGGTTCAGGGCAGACAAATTGGGTTAAGCGCTCATTAAAATGCAAATTAAATGAATTTCTCCCCTGTCACTTTCTTGGATGCTGTAAATGGCCTCCTTGCAAAACACAGATTCTTCCTATTATAGTAAGACATCACCACGGTAAAGGTGATATGATACACATAAATAGAGTTTCCAGTTGCAATCAATCGTTTGGCCAATGCTTCAGATAGTGGATATATTGTAAATCATTTTTATTGAGAGAGGTTGGATTTGCAGGCCAAGAAAAAAGAGATGCCTTTGGCTATCAAGGTCATTGATTCTATGCATATTAATGTCCCAGTTTGTGGCCCCTTTTAAGGTGTTCGAAGGTTCTAATTATTCTAACCATACTAGATGTCAATACCAAAATACTCAAAAAACCTTTTGCACTGAAGAACAACTGGTTGTGTTAAACAAGCCAAATTAAGCAGAGACACATTAGGTGGCAGAAGAGAGAATAAAAATCATCATCTCAACAGAATCTTAACATGATAGAATTATCAGATCAGGGTTCTTTTAAGATGCACTCATTTTATCCAATACTATTTGGTATTAATCATTGTCCTATTCCATCTTAGATTTAGCCTATTATAATAACATGCAGGCACTGACTATAAAATAACTTAATTATAAAAATCTGGCTTTTTATATGAAAAATGGAACATAAAAACATACAAAGAAAGCTGCTACATCATGACAAAGCTCATTTTGACCCAGAATTTTGCTTCTTGCACTGGCTTACCCAGTGCTGGGGAAACAAGTATATACCATCTCCTCTCTTGCTGCTCCCCTGCAACTGTTATTTGAAGGCATGCTGAATTTACCTCTAATACAATCTTCAAGACATTGATAATCTCTGACATGAATTTATTTAGTCCTATTTTTAAAATCCAATTCTAAATCCAATTGATTAAGGATTAGGATTATTAATTCTATGGGGTAATATTTTAATGTTATCTATCACACTTTTAAATTCTTCTAGATTTGAATATTGTTATAAAGGAAAGGGAAAGGAAAGTGTTGATTAGACAAATATTCACATAAAATGAAATGGTGTATGAGTTTAATAAAGGAAAGAAAAATATACTTTGAACAAAAGCATATTCTGCTTTTGGTCAGATGTATAAAGTAGTTGAATTGTATAGAAGGCCTGTTAATTACGTTAGGATGTGCCTAATGCCTCTAACTAAACCACCATCATATCCTTCACAAAAGATAAGACTCCAGTCCAAAAGCTGGTATTGAAATCTTAACAATCTCAATATTAGAATGTAATTATTGTCAGGAAATATACAGGGTATAAATAGTTAAATGCTTAGCATTATTTTTAAACAACAAAAACAAAGTGTTCCCCTACTGATCATCAATTAATGTCATAATGATTTGGTACAAACTTCTTGTTCCAGTATATTGAACTCATTTTGGGATGGCCTTCTTGGCAACAATACTTAAACCAGTGTTTCCCAAACTTTTTCAGTCCATCGCCCCCTTGGTGCTACAAACTGATCCACAGTGCCTCCCACCCAGTGGTGGAAATCAATTTTTTTTAACCACTTTTGTGTAGGTTGGTGGGCGATGCTTGGGGGGTCATGTGACTGGGCTATTTGCACGACTGAAGGAAGATAGTAGCAGTAAAATTCAAAACTGTAACAATTAATTGCACATTTATTCAAAATCAATTTAAAAACCTTTTTAGTTAATGTTAATTCAACAAAATTGTTGAACATGATCCAGTGATATCAGGTTTTCAAAGTCTGATAGTAATTTATCAAGAACCTTAGTGATTAGTAACTTAGTAAACTCGGAAAAATTTAGTAACTACTTCACCGTTCAGTAAATTCTTAATGTGATGGATGGGCTTGATGAAGTGATACCAGTTTCCCAATGACTGGTTTTAAGTTACTTAGCAGGAGTCTTAAATCACCACATTCAGTAATCTGG